TTTGTGAATATTTTCTCCCGTTCTATAGGTTGTCTCTTTACACTGATAGTTTCTTTTGTTGTGCAGACACTCTTTAGTTGAATTAGGTTCCACTTGTCAATTTTTTGTTTTTATTGCAGTTACTTTTGAGGACTCAGTCATAAATTCTTTCCCAAGTTCAATGTCCAGAATGGTGTTTTCTGGGTTTTCTTCTAGGATTCTTATAGTTTGAGGTCTTACATAGATTGCTGATTTCACTGGCTGATTTTCTTAGCATTAGATTTTTAATGTATGTGTTGTAGAATTTTAGTTTTTAGGTCATTTTGAGTGGGAGGTTTTCCCCCACAACCACTCATGTTCATTTTTTTCCTTTGTTTTTTTCATAAAATAAAGGTTTTTCAGTTCCCTCTACCCAGGTCTCCTAAACTCCCTCCTGCACATGCCTTATAAAGGTGGCTTGAGACACATGCCCTGTGGTAATACTAGAATGTCCTAGACCCAGGGACTGAGCAAGCAGGAGGCTTAGTTTAGTTCCAAGTATTAAGACTGCATGTGTATCCTCCTGCTTTTAGACCCACAGCTACAACTAAGTTATATCCCAGGAAGCAGTTGATGGCTGTTTTTTTTCTCTTCCTTTTCTTACTAGCTTTCTCTCACAAACACTGCCCACATAACATTAAAGAGTGAAATCAGCTGTGGTTCCCTAACACCTGAGGAGCTGAACTCTGGGATGCCAGATCAAGCAGCCCTTGGCTTTAGCCTTCCTCACTGCTTTTTCATTTCTCTTATATTTCTGCCTCATGGGGGAGGGGGAGTTACCTTGTTTTTGATATTGGCAGTGTCATTGCTGTGTATTTGGAGCAGAATAGGGGGATACTTTGAAGTATGAATTTACTGTGCCAACTTGACTGGAGGGTTTTTTTTTTGTTTTTTTTTTCGAGATGGAGTTTCACTCTTGTCACTCAGGCTGGAGTGCAGTAGTGCAATCTCAGCTCACTGCAATTGACTGGAGGTTTTTTAACCTGGAAACTTGATCAGATATTTTAGATATTTCTCCCCTCCCTCCTTACTCCTACCCTATTCCCTGAAGGCATTGTGGAGGGTAGATTGAAAGGGAAACTAAAACTACCTAAGTAGTTTAGGACACCAAGGGTAACAGATGATCAAGGTCTGAACCAAGGTGAAGAGGAGAGAATGGATTTGGAAGATAATTAGTGGGTATAGTCAATAGCCATGGATAACTGAATTTGGGAGGTATATGTTCATATTTTTAACTTAGAATGGAGATAAAAGTCACAGAGAAAGGAATATGGGAAGAAGAGTAGATTTTGGTTTGCTATGGGTCAGGAATAGAGACAGGAGTTTGAAGATTTTTATGATTGTTTAAAGCCTAGTACCTGTTTTACTAAAGATCTTGTGATACATATTTTTCCTAGTTATGCATCTCAGTATCCCAGATCTTTGAATTTGCCATATTTCCAAATCTCTTTACACGATGTTCAGCTTTAAACATACATATAGATTTCTCCCCAGCATTTGGGAAACTTTTTCTCAGGCATATTCATTCATTTCACAAACTTATTCTTAAGTGCCTCTTAAACAAACAAGCATAGACTGGCCTTCATGGATGTCAGTTTAGTGGAAGGAAAAGACAGTTACCAAATGGGCAATTACAAACTGTGGAAATGCTGTAAAAGACAAGGGTAAGATGCTGTGAGAGTGTATGAAAGCAGGGCCTGGCCAAGTCAGAGGCCCACGTCTATGCGTAGGGCACACTGGGAGGGGGTGTTCACTGTCGGTGGAAGGCTTTCCGGAAGAAATTGTAGCTGTTCCCTGTCTGGCACACCCTGTCCTGAGCAGCCTGCAAAGTTGGCTGCTTCTGCTGTTCAAGACTCAGCCATATTAACTCTGCTGAAAGACTTTCCATGACTGCACCCAAAATTAATGTCTAGCCATCTAGCATAGCACTCTTCTTTATTTCCTTTAGAGTACTGATTTTTGTCTGAAATTATTTTGTTGATGATTATTGGCTGTTTCAACCAGCTACAGTGTAAGTGTCACAAGTGCAGGAACCTTGTGTCTTTTTTTTTGTTTGTTTTTTTGACTTGCACCACCATTGCTTAGAATACTTCCTGAAACTTAAATGTTCCAGAAATGACTGACTGTATAAATGAATTTCTTTGGATCTTGATTTCTTGCATAATTGCTCTAATAATTTCATCGCCTTGTCCTTTTCGTTTGTTTGGGAGGACTCCTCAAGTTGGCTGTCTATTTATTGATTTTTATATCACCTGCATCCTATCCTCACTCTCCTGTCATGCTCTAATTGAGGTTGCCAATTGTAGCATCACACCCTATGGCCATGGTGATGAGCATGTGACTGTTTCAGACTGAGCCAGTTGGAGTCCTTCTTATACTCCAAATTTGAAGGAAGGAAGAAGGAGACTTCGCAGGTGGCAGTGTGAATCTAGAGTTACTGGTGGCCATAACCACCTTCAGATAAAAGAGCCAATGTGCAAGAAGAGAAAATGCAGGCATTTCCTAGAGAAGCAGAGATGGCAGGGGGAAAGCTCTGTGCCCGAGGCTCAGCTGCAACCCCTGTTTACTTTTGCCTTACCCAGTTCAAATGGAGTTTCTGTCACTTAGCCAAAAGATTCCCAATTAAAACTGTACCTCATCCAGGCCAGGTGCAGTGACTTACACTTGTAATCCCAGCATAGGAGGCCAAGGCAGGTGGATCACAAGGTCAAGAGATCAAGACCATCCTGGCTAACATGGTGAAACCTCCTCTCTACTTTAAAAAAAAAAAAATTAGCTGGGTGTGGTAGCACACACCCCAGCTATTGGGGAGGCTGAAGGAGGAGAATCGCTTGAACCTAGGAGGTGAAGGTTGCAGTGAGCTGAGATTGCGCCGTTGGGCAACTCCATCTCAAACAAACAAAACCCAAAAAACTGCACCTCATCTAACAACCTTTTTATCTTGATGTATTTTATATAATATCCTTGGCTATTGATCTTTTGGCATAGTTTAATTTCTAATCTCAGAGAATCCACGTTTTCTACTTCCAACTCTATTTCTTTCTTTTGCTGCCTAAATTTTCTATTTTCAGTACTTCTTTTTAGTATGCTGTCCTCCTTTCTTTTCAGAAACGTATTGCTTAGTAATAAGTAGGTGCTGTCTAATTATTGCTGCTGCTGTTATTTAACTCATCCTTGAAGCAGGTTTATTAGGCTCTTCTTGGATTTTCTCACTTTCAACTTTGATGCTTTCAAACAGCCAGGTAAGTACCTACTATCTCTAGGGTGATAGGAAGCCAGGGTAGTGGGCAGAAGCTCACTTCTGGGTTATTTCTTCCCTATTTTTGATGAACTGCTGCAGCCTGATCTTCCTGGCGCTGCTGACTGCTACCTCAGGGAGGGGCTCTGATGGTCTGGGGAGAAGTCCTCCATTATTGCAACTGGCTCTTTTCTTGGTGTAACTGCCTGCCTCTTAGAATGATTGCAGCTGTCCTTAAATTCCACCAATCCACACAGACTCCAAGGAGAATATTCCACATCTGTCCTATGGTTTCTAGTTCTAACCTAATTAGAACAGTGTTACAAGAAATTATTTCAGACCAAGCAACTCTCTTAGGCAGCTAAGTTGTAAATCGATTTAGTATTTTTCATCCATCTGGTTTCATGTACACTATGTCAAGAAGAAAATCAGCAGCTTTTTGGTATTGGTAATTTGTTCCTTTATTGATTAATTCACTCAGTAAAGTTTTTTTTTTTTTTTTAAGAGTGAGTCTTATGCTGTCACCCAGGCTGGAAAGGCTGGAGTGCAGTGGCCCAATCTCAGCTCACTGCAACCTCCGCCTCCTGGGTTCAAGCAATTCTCATCCCTCAGCCACTTGAGTAGTTGGAATTACAGGCATGTGCCACCATGCCTCGCTAGCGTTTTTAGTAGAGACGAGGTTTCACCATGTTGTCCAGTCTGGTCTCAAACTCCTGACCTCAAGTGATCCACCCGCCTTGGTCACTTTGTACATACTTACTGAGTATCTACTGAATGCCAGTCACTCTTGGAGACACTGAAGATACCAGTGTCTAAAATGAGAGTTCTCTGCCCCTCATGGAGCTTGTATTTTTGATGAGGAAACAGCCAATAAGTAAGTAAACCAATAAACGTATAATACTAGGTAGCGATGAATGCCAAGGTGAAAAAGGAAGCAGGGTAAGGGGATGGAGAGCGATGGGCAGACAGAAGGGTGATTCTCTGAGGAGGTGACTTTTGAGAAGAGACCTGAATGAATCAGGGATCAAGCCACACAAAGAGTTCCTAGCAGAAGCAGCAGCCAAAATATGGCTCTAAGGAGATGAAGAGCATGGTCAGATTGCAGAATAAGGCACCAGGGTAGCTAGAGCAGAAGGAATGAGGCGGAAGGTGGAAGGCAATGAGTTCCTGAAATTAAGGACCTTTTATACTGTTCACAGAGGAGGTGACCTCATGGCATAATCACCTCTTATGCTATCACATTGGCAGTACCTGAATTTTGGAGGGGATCTATTCAAACCACAGCTGTGTGTAATTCTCTATCTGCTTCTCTATTCCATATGCATATATAGTGGTTTCTTTTCCTCTATACCTTACAGCTTCAAATCATATTGTGTATGTTGCTTTAAATCTTTAACTATGTGTCCTGAACCTACATCTGGGTCAGTATATCTAGATCCAATTCATACCCCTTCTTTGTATGCCTATATTATTTGACTATTGCAAAGTATATATTGCTTTTAAAAGGAAAATCCAATAATGTATTTAAAGTTGAAAAATGTAATGCCAGTATATAATTTTTATCACCTATTAATGATTTATTTACCTTTTGAAGTAGAGGAATATACTTATCAGCAATTCTTTACTTGCTGCAGGTTTTTTCACTGCTGACATTTTTATTTTTAGAAAAATTTCTGTAGAATAAAAATTAATTATAGCCTTAACTAGTATTTCCTTTTCTAAGCAGATTCAATATATTTTTCAGGTTACTATATCCGGGAAAAATCTAAGCAAGTCATCACATTGCTGATGGATGAACAGTTGCTGTGTAAAGAGAGGGAAGTGGCATGTCGGACTAGGCAGCGTACCTCCTACTCTACGTGGCTTTCTAAAAGAGTATTTGGTTCAAGTAGCTCACTGATAGCGTGTGCTTCTGCCCCCACACCAGATATTTCTGCTTCAGAGAAGAAGTGTAAGCTTCCTAAGTTTGGAAGGCTACATAATAAAAGTATGTATAATGAACACTGGCCTAAATGTAACTGGTATTAAAAATGATTTAAAAATATAAAATATTATGTTTTAGTACTAAATTTTTATACTATTTAGTACTACTACTACCATACTAGGCTTCATACTATAGAAAACAAAGATGAAGAATATTCAGTAGAAGATTTTATGACTTTTTTAAGTTTATTTGTTTTTGCATTATTTATTTATTTTTGAGACGGAATCTTGCTCTGTCACCCAGGCTGGAGTGCAGTGGTATGATCTTGACTCACTGCAACCTTTGCTTCCTGGGTTCAAGCAATTCTCCCTCAGCCTCCTGAATAGCTGCGATCACAGGAACCCACCACCATGCCTGGCTAATTTTTGTATTTTTATTAGAGACGGGGTTTCACCATGTTGCCCAGGCTGGTCTCGAACTCCTGACCTCAAGTGATCCTCCTGCCTTGGCCTCCCAAAATAATGGGATTACAGGTGTGAGCCACTGTGCCTGGCCCAATTTTATGACTATTTTCTGAATGCGGTTATCTTAGATTCAAATAAAATGTCTTTGAGCTTTTAAGTTATTAAACTAGTTACTACCCTATTTGGCATTGTGATTCAATTTTAAGGTTTTATCCTTAACTAGAAGGTGAAGGCGTACAGTTTTCTAAGACTAGGTGTGTGGATATGTGTGTATGAGGTCTCTTTGATCCTATAATATATATCAAATAATTGAAATTTTAAAAAATATCCCTCAGAGTCCTAAACGTTCTTCTAGGACAATACTTTGTACTCTTTCCTTTGCTTAAAATTTTGAATATGGACTACTGAACTTTTATAAAAAAGGGATTTGCATATAATGTTATAATAGACATCAGTAGAAAAATGCTGTCATCTTTTCTATCAAATTTGCCAAAACTTAAATCTTTTTGCTCTAACTTCTCCAGTAGAACCCCTGTTGATAAGCTGTGTATGAGGAATGGACAGTTTAAGGAAGCAAAACATTAATGAAATGTGACTTAGAGAACTGTCTCTTTGTATTCAGTACAAACAGGTAATTCCAAATGTCAGTTAAGTGCAAACATTTAACAATGTTACTAGTAATCCCAACACAAGTTAATCTTGCTGAAAATCATTCAAGTACTTTTCTGACTTAATCAAGAGTTTCAAATGGTCACCCAATGGGACATTAAGTGAACATCCATACTTGGGATCGGAGAGATAGACACTGAAAGAGGATAGCCATTGTAATTATAGTAGCAAATGCTACCTACCTGCTTCTGAGAGTGGTGGAATTTCTTTCTTTAGGGTATCTGATTCTTTTGAAATAAATATCCAAAAGAGCCACTCATTTTGAAATTTTCTCGTGGGAGTCTTTAATTCAAATTGATCCTAAAAACAGAGTAACAGAGAAGAATAACCGATTATGACTCATTCAGAGTTTCTTCCCCCCTTTTGCTTATTCAGTGTTACCTTTGTTACTCTTCCTTCTTCCATTTCTTTTATCAGTTCTTTCCTCTTTCATTATAAACACATAATTATTGAATTTGTTTAAAATTTGGATATTCTGCAGAAATTTGGAGCTATAGGAGTGAATAAATTTTCTTTTATCATGGAACTAACATTCTAGTGACAGGGACTAGAATTTTTCTGCCACAAGCACAAGATAGATAAAATATGTCAGATAATAGCAAGTCCTATAAAGAAAAGGAAAGCAGAGTCAGGGAACAGAGAGTGACCGGGATGGCTTTATTTTAGGTCACGTAGTGAGAGAAGGCCTTTTAGCAGAAGTGAACCTTTAAATAGACCTGAATGAAGTGAGGGAGCAACCCGCGTACAGGCATAACTCGACTGATTGCACTTTGCTTTATTGTGCTTCACAGATACTGCAATTTTTATAAATTGAAGGTTTGTGGCCAGTCTGTACCCAAGAAGTTTATGGGTGCCATTTTTCTGATAGCATGTGTATACTTTCTGTCTGTGTCCCATTTTGGTAGTTCCTGCAATATTTTAAACTTTTTCTTTATTATATGTCATGGTGATCTATGATCAGTAATCTCAGATATTACTATTATAATTGTTTTGGGGTACCACAAACCATGCCTGTAGAAGACCAGCATGCTTACTGATATGTGTTGTGTGTGTTCTGACTGCTTCATGAACCCCCATCTCTTTCTCTCTCCTTGGGTCTCCCTAGCCCCTGAGAATCAACAATATTGAAATTAAGCCAATTAATAACCCTACAATGGCCCATAAGTGTTCCAAGTGTAAGGAAGAGTCGCATGTTTCTCACTTTAATTCGAAAGCTTGAAATGATTAAACTTAGTAAGGAAGGCATGTTGAAAGCTGAAATAGGCTGAAAGGTAGGCCTCCTGTGCCATACAGTTAGCTAAGTTATGAATGTAAAGGGAAAGTTCGTGAAGGAAATTAGAATACAGTGAATACAGGGATGATAATAATGTACTATCATTGTTGCTGATATGGAGAAAGGTTGCGTGGTCTAGATAGAAGATCCAACTAGCTCCAATATTCCATTAAAACAAAGCCTAATCCAGAACAAGGTTCTAACTGTCTTTAATTCTACAAAGACAAGAGAGATGGGGAAACTTCAGAAGAAAAGCTTGAAGCTAGCAGAGGTTAGTTCATGAGGTTTAAGGAAAGCAGCTGCCACCATAACATCAAAGTGCAAGTGAAGCAGCAAGTGCAGATGGAGAAGCTCTATCAAGTTATCTGGAAGATCTAGCTAAGGTAATTGATGAAGGCAGCTACACTAAACAGATTTTCAGTTTGATGAAAAGCAGATGAAATAGGCTTTTGTTGGAAAAAGATGACATCTGGGACTCTCATAGCTAGAAAGGAGAAGTCAATGCCTGGCTTCAAAGCTTCAAAAGACAGGCTGACTCTCTTGTTAGGAACTAAGGCAACTGGTGACTTTAAGTTGAAGCCAACTGCTCCTTTACCATTCCAAAAATTTTAGTGCCCTTAAGATTCCTTTAAAAATATTACCGCTCATTGGCAATGCACCTGGTCACCCAAGAGTTTTGATGGAGATGTACAAGGAGCTTAATGTTGTTTTCATGCCTGTTAACACAGTGTTTATTCTTCAGCCCATGGATCAAAGAGGGATTTCAACTTTCAAGTCTTACTACTAAAGAAATACATTTCATAAGGCTATAGCTGCCATAGGTAGTGATTTCCCTGATGGATCTGAGCAAAGTAAATTAAAAACCTTCTGGAAAAGATTCACCATTCGAGATGTCGTTAAAGAACATGTGATTCATGGGAGGAAGTCAAAATGTCAACGTTAACAGGAGTTTGAAAGAAGTGAATTCTAAATCTCATGGATGACTTTGAGGGGTTCAAGACTTCAGTGGAGGAAGACTCTGCAGATGTGATGGAAATAGCAAGAAAACTAGAGTTAGAAGTGGAGCCTGAAGATGTGACTGGATTGCTGCAATCTCATGACCAAACTTGAACAGATGAGGAGGTACTTCTTATGGATGAGCAAAGAAAGTGGTTTCTTGAGATGAAATCTACACCTGTGAAGACACTGTGAACATTGTTGGACTGCCAACAAAGAATTCAGAATATTACATAAACTTAGTAGATAAAGTAGTGGCAGGATTAGAGAGGATTGACTCCAATTTTGAAAGAAGTCCTACTGTGAGTAAAATGCCATCAAACAGCACTACATGCTACAGATAAATCTTTTTTTTTTTTTTTTTTTTTTTTTTTTTTTTTTTTTTTTTTTTTTGAGACGGAGTTTCACTCTTGTTACCCAGGCTGGAGTGCAATGGCGCGATCTCGGCTCACCGCAACCTCCGCCTCCTGGGTTCAGGCAATTCTCCGGCCTCAGCCTCCCGAGTAGCTGGGATTACAGGCACGCACCGCCATGCCCAGCTAATTTTTTGCACCTTTAGTAGAGACAGGGTTTCACCATGCTGACCAGGATGGTCTCGATCTCTTGACCTCGTGATCCACCCGCCTCGGCGTCCCAAAGTGCTGGGATTACAGGCTTGAGCCACCGCGCCCGGCACAGATAAATCTTTTGTGAAAGGGTCAGTTGGTATTTGCAGGCTTTATTGTTGTCTTACTTTAAAAAATTACCACAGCCATCCCAACCTTCAGCAACAACCACCCTGATTTGTCAGCAGCCCTCAACATGGAGGTGAGTCCCTCCACTCACAAAAAGATGATGACTCCCTGAAGGCTCAGATGATTGTCAGCCTTTTCTCTTTTTTGAGATGGAGTCTCACTCTGTCGCCCGAACTGGAGTGCGGTGGTGCAATCTTGGCTCACCGCAACCCTCATCTCCCAGGTTCAAGCAATTCTCTTGCCTCAGCCTCCTGAGTAGCTGGGACTACAAGCACCTGCCAATATGCCCAGCTGATTTTCTTTTTTTTTTTTTTTTTTTGTATATTTAGTAGAGATGGGATTTCACCATGTCAGCCACACTGGTCTCGAACTCCTGACCTCATGATTTGCCTGCCTAGGCCTCCCCATGTCAACCTTTTAAAATTAGCAATATTTTTCAATTAAGTTATGTATATGTATTTTTTAGGCAACATGGTATTGCATACTTAGTCTACTAAGTAGACTTCAGTCTGGTGTAAACATAACATATGCACTGGGAAACAAAATTTTGTGTGAGTCACTTTATTGCAATATCTGCTTTATTGCAGTGATCTGGAACGCAACCTGCCACAGTGTCTTCAAGGTATGCTTGTGTATCAGGCAGAGGGAACAGCAGGGCAGATGCCCTGAAACTGGAACAAACTTGGCCTGGTGAATTGTGAGCTTAGAAAACGAGTTCCTAAATTGATACAGAAGTAACCCAACTCTGATTTTATGATTTATGCAAGAAACTCTAGTTTATTGTTTTGTAGTTACAGATTACATTTTTAAACCTAAAATGATAGTCCCCATCTTTATGACATGTCTTATTCACTACACAGAACTACGAATGGCTTTTGACTATTTAAAACAAGTGAATCCACCTTCAAATGAAGTTTTGCTACAATT